AAATCTGGGTGGAAGCCTTTTTAACCTCAAAACTCCTGCATTCTGCATGCACCTAAAACTAGCACCACGTGGATGATGCCAAGATCTACTGCTAGCTGGAGCAGTAGCCAGGCTTTCTTCTCTCTGAACTGTAGGGGTCAAGTTCCTAGAACGCTGAGAAATCTGATTCTGAGGAACAAATTTTCTATGCCACCACCATTCTGAAACATGGCACTCGGTGTATTTTTCCTCAAAGTAAAGTCTTTCACTTTTGCAGGTTTGACGCTGCAAAGAGTGGATATGTGCTGCTTCTAGGGATGCCCTCCAGCCATCTTTTCTATTCTCTTGTCCCTTCTCAGCAATGGAGATCTCCTCAGCCCTATCCTTGTAGTCCACAGCTTTACTGGAGCTTCCTTTCTGGCCAAACTCATAATGTTTTAAGTCATCCTGCTGGGCTCTTTGTTCTTGATTCTCAACATAAATCTGGCTAAAAGCCCCAAACAACAGCCATGCCACCATCTCAACATTTGACTGCCTTGAAATTTCTTCTGGCAAATTAATTGGTCCACTGCCCTTAATCTGAGTGGCAGGCAAAATCTCTGGAGAAGAGCAAAACACAGACAAACTTTTTGCCAAGCCATGACATACATCATCTGGAGTCCAGAACCCAGTGCAGTTCTTCTTCCTAGCAGGAAACCCCCAAGCCTGGTCTTTACAGGCAAGATTTCTACCAGCCTTCTGGTCTTCTGAGCTCTGACCAGAATCTCCCACATACAACAGCCTAAGACATCCCAGCTCTACTCTTTCAAGTGACATCTCCTAACCTTTCCAAATTCTTCCCAAAAGCCATTCCCAAAGGCTGTTGAATGACATGGTCAGCAAATTCAGTGGTTACTTTTCTTTCATTGCTTAGACAAAATACCGGAGGCCAAAATTAAGAAACAAAATACCTGACACCCAAAAGTCACAGTTCTTGCAGGCTTCAGTCCATACTTGGCTGACTCCAAGGCAGAGTGATACATGGCAGAGGGCAACAGTTCATGGCCGTGGGAAACAGCAAAAGCAGCAAGAGCAAAAAGGAGGAGCAGCAGAGAGCAAGCCTCTTTCTCCCCACCTGCCTTATTTTGTATACAAGCTACTGCCCCAGGGCAGTGCAGCACTCACACCCATAATCCCAGCATTGGACCATGAATCAATCAAAACCTCTAGAAGCCCGCCCCATGACTGCATGAGGCTTTGCAGGGACATCTAAACACAAACCATAGTAGGTCCCTTACAGTCAGTCCATGTATGGTAAGGTCCCCTACATAGATGCCCCATAAATTGTACCCAGTCCCTAAAGGTGTGACAGTTAAGTCATCTCCAACTCTTTTTGTGCTAATTGAAAATAGTGTTTGAAACTACATCTTTGGGGAAAACATGTCATTATGTCCTGAAAACATAGCCTTAGAAATCCAATTCCTGTGTCAAAGAGCATCTGGATTTCTCAGGTTTGTGAATAGCTCATAACATGCTACCTCCAGGACCACTGGGGGGTAGAAACTCCTCCCGGAAATGGAGAAACGTGCCCATTCCTCGCTTCCTACAGACCTGCCCACACCCACACCCCTGCTCACCCAGTGTGACATTTCTAGTGGAAATGGATGTGGAGTTCCAGGCATCTGCTTATCAATTTTTAATGCTCACATTCATTTTTCATACTTCCCTTAACCCCAGTCTAAGATAAGATGCTAAAATGTGCTCTTCCTTCCCTGAGGTGTGAGGAGAGGGTGCATGCGTCAGAATGGGCAGGGAGGAGGAAGTAAGAAAGCCAGTGGGGGACAGAGGATTGGCAGATAACAAGGACAGTGTCCAGGTGAAAGTAAGACAAAAGACAGAGAAACAAGAGCTACCGCATAAGAGGACCGCGGGGAACAGGGATGAGTACAAAGCAGAAGCTGACACAGCCGTGTGAGAGGTGGAAATGCCAAGGCCTCCAGGGACTCCGGGCAGAACCCAGCAAACAGCAAAGGCATCAGGTAAAGTGGAAAAAGAAAAAGTTGAGGCTGGGGATTTAGCTCAGCAGCAAAGCGCCTGCCTGGCGAGCGCAAGGTCGTGAGTTCTGTTCCCGGTACCGGAGAAAAACCAAAAAGAAAAAGAAAAAGTTGCTCAAGGACCTGAGCACTTTGCTGCTGTCTATAATTAATGTCAACACAACACGAGGAACCAGAGTCACTGTGGGGACAGGAGAAGAGTCGGGAAAAGATTTCTCAAGTTCAGCCCAGAGTGTGATAGATAGGGTTGTCAGATAGGACATCCCAGACTGCTTAAGCTGCAGCTGGATGATTTTGCTCAAGTCTAAAGCTTTTTCTATCAAGTAGATTATGCAAACTTCTGTCACCCTGCTCCACATTATACATGCAGTGGCCCCTCAAGCCCCTTGTCCCCAAGCCACCTACACGCTTTCGTGCTTCCCTGCGGTCTTCACGCAGCTCCCATTTCACCCACACCCCTCCGTAGTCTGTGTCCACCAGCTCCCAGGCTCCCTCCCAGTCTCGCAAG